AGTTGCTTCCACTTTAATAGCATATTCTGAGCTGTAGAAATGTATAATAATGTAGAATGTAGAGCTCTCTTTCCGGTGGCTTTCGACGGGAGCACCTACTCGTTACCACTTTTGAAACCTTGAATTGTGCTTATCGGAAATTGTGATCGTTGATGCGTTCTTTTGCGGAAGTCGGGAACAGCTGCTCAGAAATCAAACAGAATTAGCTGTGAATGAGTAGTGTTTTTATTTAACATTGAAGCATTTACTATCTGTTCATGACATAACACGTGGAGTTGACCTAAACACAGTACAGGTGCAGCCAGTGCGATCCTTATCCCCAGTAGTGATCTCTCAAAGTTCTTCAAAGGGTATACGAGTTGGTGCTTGAGTTTTTCGTGCATACTTGTTCTTCAAAGGCGGTGAAGTAATATTTAAAACTAACGAAATGAGATGTTTAGTATAGGCTTTATGGGAAAGTGACGAGGCGACATATAGGAGATATATGGCCATTTGAGATCACTGGCAGTATTCTCCACTTGTTTCCTGTTTTGTGGTAGTCATATTAAGTACAAACTTTTAGTCACGCGTCAATTTGGATCAATTGAAGGAGCGTGTTCTTCGTAATATGGATGTTCTGGACCAAGCATATACATCTGTTCGTGCAGGTAATTTTATGATAAAGGGTGAAGGATAAAGCTCTCGGCGCTGATCTATCCCTGAGACATGTGCCATGGACTCGACTTTATTAAGCATCGTTTGGAGGTGATTGAATGCATATTTGGCCTTTATAATGGCTCGCGGTGGTCTAACGATGTATTGAGCCAGCGCTGCTATCCTTCCAGACAAGTCTGGTACCAATTTGCCGACTTCTGTAGGATGGAAGGCTTGGTGAGCCACGGGTGCGGGGATCGATTCCACATGTGTATTGGAGAGTGCCTCCGACCATTGCTCCACATGCACCCCAATTTTATGAACACAGTCAATTTCATGGAGTTTTTGCTTTTCAAGTGACGTTTTTAGGTTCTGCTCCTCGTGGGGATAACGTTGCTGAAGACTACTCACTTCGCCATCTAGCCGATTTTGCCGAAGTTTGTTTTGTTATTATCTATGCAATCTTTGCTGCTTTTTTCTGTCTTTGCTTATTTACCGTTGAATTTTCGACACATATATACATATATATATTAGTTTATATTCACCTGTAGTATACCACCGCCGTCCTGTTGATTGCCTCAGTAAATCCTCCACTTTTCACTGTTGCGTGCAAGAGTAGCCCAGTGGGTTCTGCTCGCTCTGGGAACTCCTTGAGCGTCGTATCATTCTTCTAGGGTTTTCGTGAAGAACTCTGACCATCGATTCGGTGGTTTTCTCGCTGTTAATTTGACATGGAGACGAATCTAATCACTAGTACTTCTGTCCATCGGTTGTCGTTCATACGCATTACTTTTGCGGTCTACCTTATCTTGTACGTTTTTGGCGTTTACAACGGTGTCTGTAACTTCTGATTGTTGAAGTAGGTTGGGGTTTTGGATTCCTTTCTTCACTTATGTGACACAGGATGCTTTTATCACGTCCTTTTGCCTGCACGTTCAATAACGTTGAATGATATTTCATCCTGCTTACGCAGCTGCCAAGTTCGCTTACGTTAAAGTAGGAAGTATCGCGGAGTCGAAAAGGTAGGCATGGAGTTGGGTGTTCTTTATTTTCTTCACAATATTCTCCATTCTGTTGAACGCTCCTGAAGCCACTCGTTCTGCTCAGCTCTGGTGGTAAGTCGTTCATCGCGTTGATTTTCAGACCTAGGTAGGCGTAACTGGAGCATTCAGAGGTATTAATTCCGTTGAGTATAAATAGGGCATAAGTAACCATTCCGTTTCTCATGCACATCGTTTTTGTGAGATTTAGTCCAAGATCAATTTTTCCACAGGCTTTATCAAAGTCGGCAAGCATTGGTTCTGCTTCGCTAATGTTTGGTGTTATATGAGCCATCAGAAAAGAAAAAATGGTATTGTGGAGCATCGATTTTCGCTCACATGTTGCTCCATTCTAATGTTCGCATACGTTCTCGAGAGTGACGGTAAATTTTCTAAGCAAGACGATATCGCCTTGCCTAATCCCTTTATTGACGTCGATATTAATGTCCTTGTAGAATGGCGATTTCTTGGTTGTGAAATTTTTATACAGCTTACGAACAATCTCTATATACTTAGTAGGGACTACCTTTCTGTCCTTGGCTTCTATTGCTGCTTCTTTCGTTCCTTTCATCTCAACTGACTCAGAAGCTTTTCTTAACTCGAAAAAGTGGTACGGAGCTGTCTCTTATACTCTTGTGATTCCTCATTGAGTACTGTTATCCTATGGATGTGGTCCGTCGTACTGAATCATTTCAAAACCCTACTTGATCACATGGCTGTCCTTCGTCCAATGTTCTCTCAATCCTCCTTATCTTGAGTGAAGAGTTTCCAGATGCAGATGACAAACAGCAAGCACATTGCGCGGTAGTTACCGATTTCATGGTGCTCACGCTTCTTAAAGAATAACACAGTTTTGCTGGTTTTCGACTAAATAAGGACTTTGCATTTTTTCACATAACTTTTGAAGAGCCGATTCAGTGAGCTTATGAAGACTGGCGAAAGGTTGTTCAGGTATTCAGATCCTGTGTTACCCAACACAGCTGTTGTTCGTCTCTTCACCCACGAAACAGCATGTAGGATTTTGGAACTGAAAACTGTTGGGCCGACATGCCATTCCTCTTTATTCCGTATGAGGGCATGAAGACGTGATTATTGAAGAGATCGAAGTAGTAATTGTGAATAATTTTCTCCATTGCATTTCTGGAAGTTGCGACTGTTCCGTCTTGTAGTCCCAGTGCAATCATCTTGCTTGTAATTGATGAGGTTTCTATGAGCTTTGCAAATGCTTTTCCTAGCCCATGCAACTTTAACCATAAATGCTGCTTTTTTTTATTTTCTGCTACTTCCTATCTGCTTTATTTTGCAAGTTCGGGAGTTAGTGGTTGCCTTTAGCCTTTACGATTTCACCCAGGCGTATGAGCACAAATGCTTCTGGAGACTGGCTTTCGAGCTTTCAGCTGTTATAGCGTTACGGTGAAGATGTTGAATGAACCTTTCGTACTTTTTGTCGATGCTATGAAGGTCGACAACTTTTCAAGGGCCCACTAACTGACTGAATAAATCCCAGTTTATGATGGTTTTGGGACTTTGTTTTTTGATAGTTCCCAGGATCGACTTTCTATTAACCTCGGCATTAGAATATGAATGTGTCGTTTTCTTGTTCAGCAATCGCGGGGTTTTTAAACAGCATACATTTACTTCCATAGAAAAGCACAATACAATACAACGCTAGCTGACGTTTCGGCAGTATCGCCTTCTTCAGAGCTTGGAAGCGTATACTGATATGCAATCTACTAGACTAAACGCTTCAATAACACTTACAAAAAGACGAAAAACTCTTTGGTAATTACATGAACAACAGCTTCTCGAAAAGCTCACCGCTTTCTACGTGACTTCCAATGAAGAGGATTAGAACAGGTGATTATAGTCGCATATGGTTGGTGACTGCACCATCCCACATCAGAAATTGATGCGAACATGCGGGGTCAGGTCGCATATGACCTCTGGGCATTCATCCCTGCTATTCATTGTAGGGCTTTTGGCATTTATCCAAAAAGCCTCAAGAAGTTTTCGCGCTGGTGTTTTAGTCTCCTGTGCAAGGATATTGACTTTCGCTTCAAAATCGTCTCCGCTGTGCTTTTGCATCCTATGCATGCCTAATTTGGTACTTTGTCTTAACTTTCGTTTGCCATCTAGGTGTTCTTTTATACGGTTACACAAAGGACTGCCCGTTTCGCCAATATATTCATCTCCGCAATTATTACAAGACATCAGGTATATCGTACCTGAACTCATGCAATCACCGTCCCTGCCGTAAGGGTAAATTACGCAATTTGTTATTTTACACAGACGGTCATACATTTTTGAAGTAAAAGTCAATATCCTTGCACAGGAGTCCAAAACGCCAGTGCAAAAACTTCTTGATGTTTTTTGGATAAATGCCAAAAACCCTACAATGAATAACAGGGACGAATGCCCAGAGGTCATATGCGGCCTGACCCCGCATGTTCGCATCAATTTCTGATGTGGGACGGTGCAGTCACCAACCATATGCGACTATAATCACCTGTTCTAATCCTCCTCATTGGAAGCCACGAAAAAGCGGTGGGTTTTTCGAAAAGTTGTTGATCATGTAATTACCAAAGAGTTTTTCGTCTTTTTGTAAGTGTTATTGAAGCGTTTGGCCCTGTAGATTGTATATTAGTATACCCTTCCACGTTCTGAAGAAGGCGATACTGCCGAAGCGTCAGCTAGGGTTGTATTGTATTTTGTTTTTTGAATTAAGCGGCTTTTTCTCCTTTGCGCGTAAAATGGAATTTTGTATGAAGGTGATGGTGTGATCCTGTGTAGAATTTAGGACAATAGCGACATCGGTAAGGCAAAACCTTCGATTTTCTATGATGTCGCCCATTTCGTAATGCTACTCTCCTCTTAAGGGCGCGTGTGGCGCAGTAGTTGGAGGCGCCACTGCGACACACGCGTGGAATCGATCTCCGCGCTCATAGCTCACCAAGCCTTCCATTCCTCCGCGGTCGGCAAATTGGTACCAGACTTGTCTGGGAGGATAGCAACACTGGCTCGATACATCGGTATGTCGCCGTCAGTCATTGTAAAGGCTAGATGGGCATGCATTCACCTCCACTGTTACTTACTGAAGTCGAATGCATGCATGACATCCCTCAGGGATTGATCAACGCCGAGAGATTTATCCTTTATCCTTTACTCTCTACTGGGAGACTCACACGTCCAGCGTTGGAGGTCGGGATTCTAAAATTGTGAGTTACCGTGAATAGTCTTGGGTTGCCATGATAAATTCAGACATCCACTGACCCTGCTCGTTCCACTATAATCCGTGGGTTTCAATGTGACGTTCTTCTTGATTCAGTCTTAGCGTTAAAATCACCAGTGATGACGTTGAATGGTATAATGGGAATGTATGGTCTTCTGTGTAGAACTTCTCCACGTCTGTATAGAACACCTCAACTTCTTCGTCTTGGCTTCATGTCAGTGCGTAAACTGCGAAAATTGTCAAAGCCGGTAGTGATACCGTCTTTTCAGTCGTATACGTCCGATTTGAGTTGTTAGTTAATGAATCGATTTTTATGGCCAAACTCATGTTAACGAGAACGTCGATGCCGCCGACTCCCTTACTGTCCTATGTTCAGAGGAACAGTTTTTCTTCGGTGTCATAGACGGCGTTGAAGCAGCGGCGTCGTCTCGTTTCGGCCAGTCCGATGATTTCGTGCCTCATCCTTCTCGTCTTCATGGTCAAGTATTCTATCCAGGGCTCCGATGTAAGTGTGCGTGCATTGTAGCTACAGGTCGCCCCTTTGTCCTTGCCGATCTAGGCAACCTATAATCCCCTTGAAATTTAAGTAGCCTCTCCGCACCCATCTTATCCAACGCAGCCGTATCGGATACTTTTTCGTGGTCATGGGAATGAGGCCCACTTATTTTGCTGTGTTTAGTACTTGATTGCTTTGTATAGCTTACTGAGCTGTGAACATGTGGGCTGTGTATACTTACATGTAGCTTGCTTGTCTCTCCTAGAGTGGACATGGAGCTTATTTGTTGGGGGTGACTCTTAACCGCCTCCCATATTCCTCCCTTTGATTTGATTGCAAGCTTTCGGTCGAAATGACTCGTAGAATATAATTTCCATAAGTGAAAACTCACTCACGCACGTATGGATGAATACGCTTTGTAAATACAGAAACTATGTACCATATCGGGGCAGCAGAAACAGGGAGCCTATCTTCGGAATCCAACTGCGTCTTAGGGAAACAAAGGTCGCTTTTTTTTTGGGATTAACCTCCATCCGCCATCCGTGGCCACGCAACTTTGTCTCGCAACTAATCGGCGTGAAATGCCACTTTGAGGGAGGTCCGTGGATTATTTTACATCAACTCTAAAATTTTTGCAAACGTATGCCACTTGTTACATGTTTAGATCGTAAACGGGACCACTCTATATGGTCAAGCGTTGCACGTCGCTTCATTAAAGTACGATATCTCAAATACTGCTTACCACTCAACTGTGTCAAGGTACGTTCTCCAGAATATTTGAAAAAATGTTTTTGTATTATTAATCTATGAGTTAACCACGTATGTGTTGAATTTCTTGATAGTTTGGTTATGCAGCCTTGAATTTTCATCGGCTGAGAGCTGCCTTTTCTCCGTGGCAGACATTTCCCGAACAGTTCAAGTGTTCGACATTGGAAATGTGCTTCGAGATCCTAATGATTTCCATTACCCTGTTGCAAAAATGGAATGTAACGCAAAAATAAGGTTGTTCTTTAAACTTCCTTTGTTTTTGAGATTTTAGTCTTAGTCTTCTTCAGATTTCACTTACCAATTATAATGTAGTCATCGGGTACCTTAACCCGCCCCTATTAGACCATCTATTTTTTTCTGTTTTGTGCTAAAGCTGTTTTGTGGGCCCTGTTTGCTCGCAGGGTACTGGAAAGTATCCATTTATTTTCTGGGACTACGGGATTTTTCTCTTTTATGAGCCCATACCATCCAGTGCTCTACGTGCCGTATGTTTATTCTTAGCTGTGCCTTCGAATAAATATCGATTGTACGAAAAATAACTATTCTTATTGCGAATGGAAATAACTATTGCGCCATCAAGGCTCGTAATCCAAAAAATGAGTCTGCGAGAAACCCTAAATTTTTTTCATCGTATGCGATTGATAATGTTGCATGGAAATCCGTGTTAGTACACCTGCTCATTACAAATGAAATAAGGGAGATCCGCCATTAGGTTGGATATCATCCTTCATAGACAATGCTCATTTTTAGCTGCGTAGCTTGGAGTCCCAAAACAGCTGCTATAATGGCAAATAGTGGATACGACGGATCGCTAACAGTGTGGGATATCACTAAAGTTGGTTGTTCAATACTTTGTTGTTTAACATGGTAACAATTGCAAAATTTCTGTACTAATTAGAAATGGAATTCAATTCTTTGATCGATGTCATACGCCCATGTTGGGTTTCCATTCGTTTTTGTTTATTTCGGCCAATTTTCAAAGCTTATTCACAAACGGCAACATGTAATACATTCTTCCTAACGCAAAATGTGGCATTGCGCCTTTCTCTGTTCTACTAAGTTATATTCATTGCCAATCATTTGTTGACGAACACCAATTTGCAAAGAATTGCTGCTGTTCACATCGCGGATGACACATGTATAAGTTAGATTCTTTTCTGTGCATTACGGATGTAAATTCATATACACCGTGGAGAGTCAGCTGCATTAGTGAGAGTGCGAAGGCTTATAATGAGCTTTTTACTTACTTGGATACTTGGATGCCCTATATTCATTGATTGTGCGGACCACAGCATAATTTCCACTTTTTTTCGGCGCTTTGCTGGTTTAGTTATTACGGTTTCGTGGAGTCCCAAGCTCAGCTTAGTCAAAGTCTGCCCCAAGTCGTCACCACAACAGACAGTTGCCGCCCTTATGGATCAAAGGGAGATTTGCCACCATGCGACTAGTTTAATACTAGGGAAGTGGTTGGTCGTGGTATTTGTTTACTCTTAGCTGGACTTCCTGATTGAAACGCCGTACTCCTCAGCTTGGGAGACCCCACTGGTGGAATGAATCCCTCTACTATACATCGCAGCCCGACACCGAGAAACGCCTCCCACCCACGATGAGGCGCTAAACCGTTGTTGGGTTATGAGTTTTTTAGAACCAATAACGTAGTATCGTAAACGTTTGCTTTGCCCAACTTTAGAAGCTGGCTAACTGCTTATGACAACGAATGTTGAAACACGAACAGCCTTGGGGTACGCACGATAACATTCGCCTGCGCGTCGCCGAGGTAATTCGGCATGTATCGGTCTGGCTTAGTTGAGCAGCATGTGTTTTCTGAAGCCACCAACTACTATTTTCCTGCGCTTTCAATATTCAAGTGTCCAAGAAAGCTAAAGGATTTGATTTCTAAGTTGATTTCTTAAGTCAAGGCATAGTTTAAGTATTTTTTTTAAAAAGTGTCTCATTTCACGTGAAATTGAAAGTCGCACAATGTTTTTACCCTTGTGCATTATTTTTCGATCAAACAAATAATGTTTGTGAATTGTTTGTGCTTGAATACATTTCGCTTGTTTCTTACGTAGTAGTTCAGTCGACTAACATTAGTTGTTGCTGTCTTGGGAGAATTCCATTTGCAAGGCGACAATTTTTTTTCCGATCGGCATACTGGGAACCATAATATGAGTGAAGGAATCTTAGAAACTCAGATTTAAGCGATATGTGAGGACTGTTAATTCCAAAACGTCTGAAACCTCGTCATGATCGAGAACGAGTACCGCCGATTAGGGTTTCCCTACTATATCGAAGTCTAGTGAGGCTTTCTTTCCCAGCGGTGTTTTTTAGGTCTGGAAAGGGAGTTGTGGATCGGAAGTGATTAAAAAAAGTATAAAGCTTTTTCATTACCAATTCATATCATGGACGGAGGTGGTAATAATCCATCTTCGTTAAACGATGCTGGTATGGGAAAATTGGATTCGTAAACATATGAGGTTTTGAGTTGGATTGGATCTTTTTTTGAAGATACTTCCAATCTGCAGCTGAGACTTATTACCATCGGTGATGAGTATCTCGTGATTGGATTTAGTTTTGATTCGTTTAACTTTTCGACTATTGTGCTGATGGCGATGCAATCCAATTTACTTTTTTGAAAAGCCGAGGTATATTTTGCGCGGTTTTGACGTCCATCGACGATCACTTCATCATCGTCATTTGAGTCATTCTTAATTTGTTATGCAGTGTATGGTAAGGGTTCGATCTAGAATGTTTATGTTGTGCACGGCTTTTCGTTTCCTCGGTTACTTTTTTGAGTGGTGACGATGTATTCTTTTCCACCTTGTAGCTGAATCGAACCTCTGAGCCAAGGCGGCAGTGATGTGATTATTGTTACTACATGATCCGACATCACATGTATCACTGTGCGGATCCCAGAACTTTCTACCAGTATTTTTTTGATCTTTTCTCCATAAATAGACTGCAGTCGTTCAATTGTTCTTTTTTGTATTGCTGATCTTCGATTCTCCAACCTTTATTAGGGTAGTGCAAATGTCTTCATAGGAGAGAGGCAGAGAGGGAGAGAGAGAAAGAGAGGGGGAGGAAAGGAGAGGGAGAGAGAGTGTGAACGAAGAGAACTACGCCATTATGCTTACAGGGTATAAAAGTGAACGTGACAATCCAGTGGACGTAGTTTTGACTTTGGTTTTGATGGAGTTCTATGAGATTCAGGATTTTACCGTAGTTGTTATTTATTAAGGAAATTAAGGTGCTATTTATTCTGGTTGCTATAATCTTATCCAGGTTCGAAAACTGCGAAAATTCATCGAACATGAGAAGAGGTGTTGGTCGGTATGTTTCTCACGAACAGAAAGCCACATCTGCGCAACCGGAAGTAACGACTGTTCGGTATATTTGCGTTAATAAATGATTGTAGTGTTTTGGTATCTAGCAGGTTGTTCTCACTAAAGTAGTTCAGGTAAAAATTTGGAGCCTTAATATGGCAAACTCCGTTATGACCGTCAAACCTCATTTCGTTGTTTGCGCTGTCAATTTTGGCTTCTCTCGACATGAAATAGCTGTTGGCTCTTCAGGTAAAAAATCTTTCTTTATATGTGATTATCTTTTTACTAACTTTGTTCCACTTCATTGTTAAGACCGTTCGGTGTACTTGTACGACCTCCGTCAGCCAATTCGTCCTGTCAGTGTTTTCGTTGGACATCGTCAGGCAGTTTCATATGTTCGCTATCTTAATTCACATGAAATAGTTTCTGCGTAGGTTTTAAAATAATTATGCAACGACTAGTTTGCTGTAACATTGTACGTTTTCATCTATTGCGTTATAAAATTGTGTATTCTTCTTCAGGTCCACAGACAATCATCTTCGTATTTGGAATACTCAGTCGGGGACATGTAGTCGCCTACTGTACGGTCACAAGAACACGAAAAACTTTGTTGGTCTGAGTTCTTGTGGGAACCACATTATTACTGGTACGTGGTGTGTAGTTCACGTCGTGACGTGCTGCTTCATAGTACCACTCAAGTGAGTGTAGCGAGGAAATCCCCTTGAATGGCCCTTCATCTAATGGTAGTGAAATATGTTGCATATTACGGAACTGCAACATAAACAGGAGTTCTTTCCGCCAAGAGACACACTGGTACTGAAATCGGTTTCGAAATTCAGGCACGAAAACTTAGCCTGAAGAAAACCAGTGCATCGGTGGAGTCAGCGACCAAATAGTAGCCACTGCCTTGGTGAAAACGGTATATATAAAGGACCGCTTGCCAAAATTACTATTTTTGAACATATATTTCGAATTCTGGGGGAGATTCTAGAATGAAGCGCTATTTTTCTGAAAACTTTCCAATTCCAGTAACTCTCAGTTTAGAACGGCTTTGCGGAAATTGAACGCTATATCTGCAAAAGTTACCGTTAATTTCGTTTTTGTTGTTGTTTATAAAATGTGATGGAATATAGTTCTTCGATTTTATACTTTTATACATTTTATCTACAACTTATCAATTGAATCGGCCAATTTATGCGAAAAGAATTGATGCAGATATTCTTTCATAGTTCAGTGGGAAATGATGCGCTTGAATACTTATTTGCGGCTAATTTCATTACTTTATTTTATTTTATTTTATTTTACATGACTCATCATCACATCGACTGTGCGGATCCCAACACTTCTTGCATTCGATTCGTTTCCATTGCATCCACCGTCCATAGTAGTTTGCAAACGCTTCGCATATTGTTTCGGCTACTACTTGAGGATCTCATCTTCTTTGTGGGTATCGTAGAATGCTGATTGTGTCGATTCTTCCTGCAATCTTAGAGATAGCCCGGCGAAGTCGTTCCAGCGTGGAGAGCGTTTTGGTAGGAGAGGGTTATACTGTATTACTATACTGCCTTTGCATCCTGATCGATAGCATCACTAACCATTGCGCTATCCTCCCCTTGCCCCCTGTTTTTGCAATTGTCAGAATATTATATGAACCATCCACCATCTTGACAGAGTGGATTGTTTGAATGAGTGAGTGATAGGATCCTTTTGTGGCAGTTCGTACCTAATGTTTTTCATTTTGCTTTTATCCTCGTTTTGGGGCTTTTGAAACAAATCTTACTTTGTATAGTCATTAACGGTTTCCTGGTCAAATGCAATGTTAACAATACCAGCTAATTTATCGTCTTTGCTTTCTTACTTGAACTAGTTTTTAAGTTCTTTTAATTTTCTTATGCTCCACATTATAAAAAACTTAAAACAAAGGGAACGTGAGTATGAAAGCTGTTATAATCTAGAGCAAAATATGCACTTCAACAGATCGATGCTCGCATGAGTCATATTTGACTCATTTGGGCGTCCAATTTTTTTCTCTTAGGACATCTTGTTAATGTGAACAAAAGCGATTGCAGTTTACAGATCTTTACCAATATTGTGCAAATTTTTTTAAAATTATGATTTTTTGGAACACGTAGGACATATTTTTGCGCCTTCTTTCGTCACGGCTTGTATCTCGGTCATGGAAGCCAGTTTGTCAGGACGCGGTGGTATTGAAGAGTATAACACTTATGGCTTTAGTTGTAACAAATGGGTTGGCATAGCGAGAAGTTGAAATCTTTAATTTCAAATTTTTTAAAAATTTGGCTGTTAAACGGGTAGAAAATTGAAGCGGTGTTATAGGGAAAATATTTGCGCCCTTACGGAAAAGCGGAAAGGTTCTTCCACAACGCTGTCATATTCCGAGCTGTCTAGGTGAACTATTTAGCGAAAAATGCGCATGATCCGAAGGGAATTAGACATCGTTACCATATTTTTATGTGATAGCAATTTAACAGTTTTTCGGTTATCACTGCTGGTTGAAGCGCCCGATTTTGCAATTTGGCTAGCAGAAAGTATAACAAAAAGTGACTTTGTCGTTAAGTGTTAAATGGCTTTTGTTTTTCGACTTGTATGGAGAATAACCATAGAGTATAGAGGGCCCGTGTAGCACAGTGGTTAGAGGCGCCCTGCAACACATGGGATCGATCGCTGCGCCCCAGGCTTACCAAGCACTGCATCTCTCCGGAGTCGACAAATTACTACCAAACGTGTCTAGGAGGATAGCAGCACTGACTGGAAACATCTGTAGGTCGCCACGAGTCATTGCAGAGGTTGGTTGTGCATCCAATCATCTCCAATAAAATGCGTGACGCGTCCCTCAAGGGTTGATCAACGACGAGAGCTTCATCTTTATTCTTTTATAGGCAATACTCTAAATGTTTGTAAACTTACTGTTCGCGCAACTGCGTGTTTGTAAAGAAGTGAATCTGGAATGCTCGCATTTATATCAGATGTTGTGCGTTTGAGCAATAATTAAAGGGAAAATCAGAAGTATACAAATGCCGCCTATTGCTACAATTTCAGGGAGTGAAGATAACCGTGCCTATGTATATTATAAAGGAGTAAGTCGTCCTGTTCTGATTTATGACGTGGATTTGTGCGAGAGTTTTGCAAATTTTACCGATCCTTCGCTTGGCTTTGAGAACGACTCGGAAGTGTTCGTTTCTGCTGTAGCTTGGCGTCCGGTAAGTTGTCCGAAGCGGGAATTTTCATTGATGTATTTGTTTGTTTATGGACAGTTTTTCTTGCAAACTGACTGAAACACACGTGATTTGGAGGAATGGGGGTAAAATTCAGCGTTTTGATACTGTATTACTGCTGTATAATCATCCGTATTTTTCTTTTTTTTTTCGTAATTATCTAGACAAATAGGATGTCGCTTCTGTAGTGACAATTAAGTGAACGGGTTTTAATTTTGATCAAGGTTTCCAAATATTCATTGAATACAATCGTACTGATGCTACGATATGAGCAAAACTCGGGACCTCAGAAGGCCTTCGAATCCATGAGCACCCTTTCCCAGATACATTATACCCTGTCATGTAAATGGAAAAGACAGTAAATAGGAATTAAGGGATTGTAATTTCGACTGCAGCTTCAGCTTAACTGGGTTTAATGTCAATTTGTACTTCCTGGATCGTTCCTGTAGACGTACGATTGCTGATGGCACCGTTAGAAAAACTGGCCGAGAGAAAAGCGAAGCAACGGACTAGGTGGATGTGGTAGATAGCATGTGGGCCCTCAGGAACGGTGGGTTATCACGTGTTCAAAGACCACATGAGGCTCCAAGTTTTGTTGAAATTTCGGCATCTTTGTTATTGTATTTGACGTAATAATTTACCATGAGAAAAAGAATTAGTAGTAAATAGATGATAAAGCATTGATTTACTGAACAGATTTTTCAACTTGTGTTCCTCAATCCTCCTCAAGTTTTGGACAAAATTAAGTGAGTAGATTTTTCTTTTCTTATAGCATCTGTATTACACATTTAATAGCGTCGTCAGTTATGCGTGTATTTGTTGATTCATATTCAGGGCTCCAATCTGGTGCTAGTGGGAAATAGCGTTGGAGATGTTCATGTTGTCGATCTCCGTTAATTAACAAAATGATGTGGTATTATTGAAGATTACAAAAATCTTTATCGTACTGCTTTCTCTTTTTCTTATGCCTTCGCAGCCATATTACGGTTTGCTTGCGATTTCACCGTTACTTATGAGAAACGTTTCTCTTGAATATTTCCTCCATTGTCAGTTGTAAGTCTCCCGTATAGTTTTATGATGTGCAACAATCCTTGCGTAGGATTTTGACCCTCCTTTGCACTTTGATGAATACGTCTGTGATACCTCGTAATTTATAGGTTTTAGCCAAATTTTTCGATATTCGTTCATTTTTACTTAAATATAAGCTGAACATTTACAACTTAACTGTTGTACTACTTCCAGAAGTCGTTTTCTGGAGTTGTACGTGGTAATTGTTTAGAACTTGGCAACAATGTGAAACGTTTGATGACGGGTTTCTCATAGAAAATCACTGAATGAGTTGTAACTGTGCTTACAACATTCTTCTAAAGAATCTTAGTACATTCATTTCATATCGGTGAGCCTTTGTACGTCCTCATTTTGTATCTTTCGTCCTCTCTGTTTATTAGTGACAAAGTGTATTCTTTATTAAAGTTTTTTTTTATTTTTTTTCTAACATAGCTAGTAGTTAGTTTTAGTTTCCCGTTAATTTATTTGCAAATATGGCAACGCCTCAGTGCTATTCAACGATTAATAAAATATATCGGTAGGATGTCTGGTTACACACAATGTGAAACATGTAATGATTTTATTGTTACGAAATCTATCCATTCGAAAGCCAGGTGATCTTATCGTAACTCGACATATTCATTCCCGATGGCGAAATGAATTGCATATATAGTGCCGTTTCTATAATAGAGCTAGTGTAGTCATGCTTCATCTATCCATCTGTTTACACTCGTTTGTGCTATGTTGATCTCATAGGTACGAAGCCATTGTGATGTATGGCTAATGTTTGGTTTTAAGAAAACCTTTGTAGTTGTCGTCGTCGCTCAAATATAAGGAAACTAGGCAATTGCTAGAGATCCATGTCTATCTCTATTTCCATACACATCACATTAAATGCGTGTTATTTACAGTCTAGTCTCAGTGGTTCACTAAACTTCATACTGGAATTTACAAGCTAGTTCGTTGGATACGGAAGGCCACAACTGCTGAGTACTTCTATCCTGTTTGCAGAAAAAATTGTCAGTAATGCTGTTTTATATTGTGTCCTAAATAAAATGTGCTCCCGGGCCTAGAGTATATAGACCAGTGAGAATTGTGACAATAAGAAAGAAATTAAGAAATCGCGTTTGAAAAGTGTCAATTCGAAGAAAGTGGATTGAATTTCCTAGAATTTTGTGGTCAGTTGAACCATTGATCTTCATGAAGACTCAGTAGAGCACTTATTATCGCCAATCTCAATGCGTAAAAGCATCACTTAGGATGAGCTGATTTTACAAGCGGAGGGAATAACAGCGTTTGTGGCGGTAGGCAACCTGAGGGAAAACTGCCATCTAGTACCTTATTGGATCGGAATAATGCTCTTTTTTCCGAATAATATAGAAAGTGCTAGTAGGTGAGCGTCGCAGAGATGAATTTTGCGACTAAACTGTGTGGTTGTTGTGGTTAAAAATCTGGTGTGGAAATGTGAACTGGTTTGCATAGCTATTCATTTAATTTCAGATCAATATTGATGTGATTCCACCAATGCAGACAACAAACTCGGTGACACTGTGGTCACCACTGTTGTGGTTATTCCTTGTAAGGTCTTTGTCTCCTAAGCAGTATGGAAGTTTATTATAGAATAATTTATATATCGTAATGAAGATCAATCGTTGTAGTACATAGCGTAATAATCACTTTCCTTCCGATGGTTTCGAGTGGTCTGCTGACTAGTGATGGTCAGCTGTGGAAAAGTTGTGAGAGAAAGTGGTTTTTCTGTCGTTGTTGTCCACATCTAAAATATTGGCAGCTTCTTTGCTTTATTTCATCTCTCAGTTTTGAATTCCATGCATTTTCTACTACAACGAAAGTTCTCGACTGCAGTAGTAATTCTTACCACTTCTAGCGTTGACGATGGTAGCACAGCTTTTATCTCGGTCAAAGTGTCTTCGTTGTCTGACTCATCATCACCATCAATTGAGAAAGATATTTCCGGCAAAGCAGCTGGAACACGGAAACTTTAAATATTAGAGTTGCGAAGTCCTGTTGACGAGAGCAAACCCTCTTCTGCAGATTGCTTTCTCGGTTTTGGAGTACCAGTCGTTGCAATTGTTACCGAGTTTGTTGTCTGCATTGGTGGAATCACATCAATATTGATCTGAAATTAAATGAATAGCTATGCAAACCAGTTCACATTTCCACACCAGATTTTTGGGCAGCAAAAACGTCTACCTGTTCGTAATAATCTTCATTCTCATTTTTGCCTTTGTCGTCTGTTGAGAAATCTACTTCGGGTAACGATTCCTCGCCATCACTGAACTCCGTGCCGAAATCGCCATCGTCGGGTGTTAGCTTTGAGTTTTTCTCCTTTGCTTGAAACAACCTACATTCAATATATTTAATTTTACCTACAATCTTCAATAGACGATAATTTAAGAAAACGAATGAAGGCAAAGATAACTTTGACTATATAGCTAGGCCGAATTTCTGTAGACGAAAATGATGAGTGGATTCGCCAAAACGTCATTTTATGATTGAACGTTTCGAAACTTCATTCTGTTATCCCCAGTATTTCTACTCAAACATGATTGACAGCTGTGACTAATGTGAACTGCAAGGACGGTTTCTCGTGGTGCTTTCCCTGATTTTTAAAATAGCAGCGGAATTTTGATGGACTGGGAGTAATCGTGTGTCATGCAGAATACCAGCATTGTAAATGGCTAAGCATAAGATTTTGTTCTCATTATTTGTAAATCTTCGTATTTTGTTGAGCAAACGCGAGGTATTATTATTCTTTATTAACGAATAAGCTGACGTTTCGGCGGATTTCGCCTTCCTCAGAGCCTGGAAAGGTCAAGTTGATAGGAATCTATTCGGCCGCACACCTTCATAACCAAAGAAAGAAACTCTAGACCAAGATGTTTACCGTTTTGTTTTCTGCCTTCTATAATTTTCATGGCAGTTTACTAAGCGAAATACAGCCACAACGTTGCTGAGATATTTGCAAAACTCTGGACCGCAGGTGTCTATGGTGGGGAACGAACGCGCTATTGTCCTTTCCGGGGAGTAACGCGTTCACCACCACACCATGCGAGTCCTTCGTTTCGCCTGTCTCTCAGCTATTTCTATCGATCTTTTTGCCGTCCAGAGTTTTGCAAATATCTCAGCAACGTTGTGGNCCTGCCATGAAAATTATAGAAGGCAGAAAACAAAACGTTAAACATTGTGATTTCAACTACAGCCATAGCTTAACTGGGTTCTACGCCGATTTGCGCTCCCCAGATCAACCCCGCTGACGGGTTATTGCTGTGGCAAAAAGATCGATAGAAATAGCTGACAAAATTGCACAATTTGCCCCAGTGGTAGAGACGGTGATTGCATGAGCTCGGGTATAGTTTATCTATCTTCTGTAAGACGTGCGGAGGGTAAGACATTGGCGAAATGGGCAGACCCTTCTGTGCCCTCATAAAAGAACACCTAGCCAGCAAACAGACCAAATACCCCGCCAGGCACGCATAGGAACTAGAGACATAACGGGGAGGACTTTGAAGTATGTGTCACGATCGTCGCACACGAATCAAGAACACAAGCGCGCAAAACTCTCGAGGCATTCTGGATTAATTTCAGAAATCCGAAAATGAACCGCATAGAGGAATACCTCATTATTACACGTGATTTGGGCAGTATATAAGACTGCTATTCTGATGGGAGGGGCACATTATGCTTTCATTTGATTTCTGCGCGGTTGGTCTCTACGTGACATACTTAGTGGAAACCTCATAGAAAGCGGTGAGTGTGCAAAGCTGTGTTCAATGTGATTGAAATCTTGGTTTAGAGTTTCTTTGTTTGGTTATGGAGGCGTCTGGCCGAGTAGATTGCTATCAGCTTGACCTTTCCAGGCTCTGAGGAAGGCGAAATCCGCCGAAACGTCAGCTTAATCGTGAACAAAGAATAATAACACCTCGCGTTTGCTCAACAAAAATACGAAGAATTACTTGATCAATGCCGAGGTTAATAGAAAGTCGGTCGTGGGAGTTACTTATTATTTGTGTTTTATTCTTTTTCGGATCAGCTGCAGGTCGGTAGGGTATTCCAGAACCACGTTTCTTTTTCAAGAAAATCTTTCTCAAATTGTTGAAATTACGTGAATTCTTGTAAACATCTTGAGCATTTGAGTTGCCATAGTTATTATTTATTATAGATACTTTCCGTCTAATATGTTTTGATATTTCTTTTCTTTTTGGCCAGCCTATGAGACAGACATAAAGAGGAGACACGATTTGTGACCGTGAAATGGATTTTTCTGTTCTAGAGCTCCGGAAAAGGTAAAAAGGACGACTCCAGCTTTGTAGCAATGATATGAGAGAATATGACTTATATGACTTATTCCGTATATCTTTCTATGACACAGTACCATTCCAGAAGTTGAAGGTTATACTGAATACACTCTATTTCCATCTATGGCCTTTCCTAATCCTTCCTTAAAGTAATTTCCTTTCACAGTCGCCTTTCAGCCAAACTGAGATGGACAGACAGGAGCATAGTAGCGCAAAAGCATTCGACGATAATCGATAGCTTAGAGATGATCAATGCATCACACTCCTCGATTAATCTGTGTAGAGATGATTGGTATTCCGGCCATAGAATGATTTGTGGGGTCCTAACCACTTATCAAGTCAGTGCTGCGTTTGCTCTTATCGTCGTTTACACACAACAGTAACAACGGTATGTATGAGTTATCCATCAAGAGAGCAGGAGCAACAACATTCGTCAAGAATGTGTTCAGAAATTTCAGCATTTCTGCATGCGACAAAACACTAATTATTTTTCCACGACCAACTTTCTATTAACCTCGGCATTGATCAAGTAATTATTGATCACTGATCATTGATCACTAATTATTTTGGTGGTTGTAGGTATTTCTTGCTCACCTTTAGCCGAATGCTTTTTAGCTTGTCCAAGTGCGCTTCCCAGCAATTCTCCCATATTAGTACCTCCTATGAATTGTGAGATGAGCTCGGGATTCGACAAAAGCTTACCGATTGTCTCCCATCCGTTTGGATCATGGAGTAGGCTTAATGCAGTCTGAAATAATGCTTTGAAAAATCACGGTTGCTGCTATTAAGCTATTGCTACCATATCTCTCACGTCAGCAAAAGGGTCATTGATTTTTCTTTTCTCATAGAGGGTAGTTGTGAGTTATTCTTGAGGAGACGTTATTTACTTAACACCTGGTTCTTGCCAAAAATTTCTTGAATACAAACAAACCAATGAAAGAAGGAATTTTGATTTTTACAATAAATGCAATCCTTCCTCTCAATTAACAGAAAACTCGTGTATCCGTTTTCAGTTTTCGCTGCCCGTAAAGAAGGAGTGGGTGGGCAGTAAAGACTAGAAGAATATGTATGTATAAAGAAAATATTTTACCTGAAAGTTGCTGAAGAGTTCTGAGCGTCTGAACTTGTCAATCGCTTTGTAAATATCGCCACAACTCAACCTGTTACACAAACCGAGGAACTGGAATTTTTTTCACATGAGTTGAGCCGATGGTGAACAAAGGAGTTCTGGAGAGAGACAGGGAGAGAAAGAGAGAAAGGGAAGGAGAGAGAAACGAACGTAGGAAAGAAGAAACAGAAGATATAGATTTCCCTTCTTCACTTCATTATTTCAACATTTTTTCGAATATTGTTTCTACACTTTAAAAGCTGTACCTCAGGCAATTCTGGGAGTGGATCCTTGAAATTTCCATTGTTAGAACCCATTAGAAGAGCATCGAATATTTTCTTGAAGTCGATTGAACTGCCTAGGAGTCATTTTCGTACCTCTTGAGGCGATGGCATAATCACGTTCTCACTCTTTATTTTCGTCGAGTCATCGTTATTGGAAAACTGTGCGGATTTTCGTTGTTGATCAAGCATTCGGAAAATCCCTGTTAGTAATCCACGTTCGCCGAAGAGTGCTGAGGACCATTCTTCATTGATTGTCATTATGTTAGTGTGTGGAATTCCATCTGAATAGAAACAAGAGCTGTTTAGTTATTTAGGTAGGAATGTCTTTCTTTCTCAAATATCTGAAATTCGCCATTTATGAAATGAAGCACGCCAAGTTTTGTTGACGCATGAGGCTGACGGTCAAATTTGCGTGGCTGCCGCGTTAAATGGCGCCTAATTTCATGTCGATTACGCAACTACTGGTTCTTAGACAATAGGCGATAATTTTCCAATAACTAGATGACTTAAGAGATTGAGAACACCACAGAATTATAGAATAGACCCTTCTGAATCGCTGCAAAGGTATGCGTTATATGTGTTCTACTACTAGATATTATTTTGCTCTACGATTAAACCATATTACTTTCGGCATTCGGAAGTGTTTTTGAACTTATTTTTGCCTTCTTCAGTATTTTTCACCTTCTCATTTCATCTGATAGCCATTATTCCTCATAGCGATTGGAGGGAAGCAACATGCATTTGCCAATGGAAGTACCGATCAATTGGCTTATACAAATAATGGTCTAAGTGGTTTATCTATTACAAATTCTACAGCAAAGCTTTTTACGAGGCCCACGCCTGACATAAAGTACAGCGCGGTAAACAAGCTTCATGCAGCAAAATAAAAAGCTGAAAAAGAGATGCCATGGTTGTAATACACTTCTTCCCTTTTCCCCCAACGCGTGCATAACATACAGTGCAACTCAGACACTACGTGTTAACTGACTGTGGCAGCAGCAAACATTCCTTGTTATGCACACGCAATCGTTTGATATTGTATTATTCAGCGATATTTCCAGAAACAACGGAGCGGGAAATAGTGACTTTTGTTCCTAACGGGTTTTTTGCTAGAGGTAAAAGACAATGTACCCAGGTAAATGGCGCAGTGGTGGGAGACGCCCTGCAATACACACGTGGGATCGGTCCCCGCGTCCATGGATCACCAAGTCTTCCATCCCTCCGGGGTCGGCTAATTGGTAGCAGACTCGTCTGGAAGGATAGCAGCACTGGCTCGATACATCGGTAGCCCACCGTGAGTCATTGTGAAGGCCAGATATGCATTCAATCACCTCCAATAATACTCAATGAAGTCGAATGCATGGCACATCCCTCAAGGATTGATCAACGCCAAGAGCTTTATCCTTTATTTTTTAAAACGAAGTTGGACAAGCTAATAGTTTGACATACCACTCACTCGTTAAGGACAATTTAACGTTTCTCGATATTTCATACATAGAAAATGAACAAACCTGTTGCTAGTCTCATACCGCTTTTAGGCTTCATTCGGATAACTAACGGGCTTGTGACTCCTACTGTTGAACTCGATATGGAAGCGGTTAAGGTGGTAGTCTAAAATAAGATATCGAAGCGACTTATCTAAGTAAACCTAAAACCAGTTTGAATTCAGTACTTCTTTAGACTAATTCTCATTCTTTCATCCTGAATTCGAGAAACAGGTAGTCAAATCGCGGCAGTTGGTGGAAACTTTGTAAACGATTTGCATAAGGGCATTTTGAAATGCGTTATGTGACTCCCAACGAAGCCATTAAATGTACACTGACGAAAATATTCGCGGTAGGACCAGATGCACCGATCTACGCTGAGATAAATTCGGATGCTAGTGGTGAAATGGCGCAATGGTTTTTATACTGTACGGAACAGGCTTTAAAACATCCACAGTGACTCATTTGTGTAGCAGAACACATGTGGAAGCTAAATACTGTTAGTTACCTTTTCAGATTTAAAGGCTAATATTAATGCCCTTACTTTGTTCTACCTTCTTATGAGAATATCAAAGCCTATATTTTTTTAAAAAATTTACATAAGTCTTACTTTCAGGAGTGAAATATTTATTCCTTCTTGAAATTTCTTCCGACGGTATTAGTAGAACTGTAGAGCGGTTTGACTACATTCGAATCAATAGTAAGGGCAACAAAATGAAAAGAAGAATCGTTAGTAAAAAAAAATCCGAACAACCTGGAATGATGGTGTGACCTTGTCGTTCGAAGTTTCAGCTCTTAACAAAGTATTTGAGAGTATAGTAGCTGATACAAGCCAGTTCAATGTTATCATGAGATTCTGCAAGTGAAAGCAAGTAGTGGAAATAGATGAAAAGGAAATCGCTTAAGTTTCTATTCAGTGATAGATAGAAATCAACATATAGAAAGATTTTGACTGTATACTGTACAAAGTCTACTCGATGAGAAAACGTGTAAATATGTAGTAGAACTCCTTAAAGTCTTCTATCCATGTTATTTCACAGGTTTTCTAATCTTAACCATTTTCCAGTAGAGAACGAGTCGAACAAATCTCACTTTTGTTTTCGATGTGTTTTTCATATCCATGAAATATTTAACAACTTAAAGAAGAACTCATGACAAATTTGTAAAAACATTTGTGGGAGTACATGTGAGAAGGTACGAAGATAGCCGTCTAGGAGAAGAAGACTGAGAAGAGAAAAAGTGAACATTTAGAGGAATGAGGGTGCTTGAAGAGATGGCGAGGTGAGCGACCTTTAGGGTGATTCAGTGGCATGGGTTTTGCCTAAGGCTGAGGCTGTGTATGATGCCTGTTCAGCGAGCCAAGGACATCTGACGATCTCTCTTGTTCAGCGAAACCCGTTCTCATGACAGGAGCCTATCGTTTACATAATGGTGATGCTTCGGTGTTGTTCATTTCGTATATGCGCATATGTGAAAGCTAATGGAATAGATGCATATGGATTTGTAAATGTGCTTAATTGTTTACCTTCTCGAAAATTTTTTTATTTAGTGGTTGTTTTTTCGCGTATTGAGTAGCACTTTATGCTTATAGACTGGAAACTTCTAACCTTACAGTACGTTATGTTCAAGATAGCGAGAAATTCTCGAACACCAGAGATTACCAGCCACCAAGTCCGTAGTGCTGTTAGCATCCAACATGATTGCATAGTTTCGCCCCATGTTTGAGGAGACCGGCCGTTTAACCGAGTGAGTGGCAACTTCGAAAGAGAGTAATTGAAAGAAGAATTTTCGCCTATGTAGAAATTTGGAATAAATCTTATCCAAGTTATTCTATAGAATCGATTGAGCTTGTTAATTCTTGTGATGCCACAACGTCATTTCCAACTATATCGTTACACAAAGGGTGGTTAGTTGTAAAAATAAGACCATTGGCATTAACAGCTTCTTCAATACCTGTATCTGATTATTCTAAATTATTCTTGTGCTATATCTTGAAGCACACATTCAGCGTAGGAAGTATAAAGCTGGAAGTGTTAGGGTTTGGGTTTGATGAGAAAGTGCCAGTAACTTTGACGAGATTCGTCACGCATTGCTTCAAATGATACTCCTCAAGCAGAATTGATTCATCTCCTTACAAAAAAGGACATACTTTTCTGAGTATTTTAGTAGTTTATAGAATCTTCCAACCCTCTAAGACGATTGGTTGATATTCTTAGCAGCTAGAAGCTGTTTAAGAAATTTTGCCAAACGAAGTAAAGTACAACCAAACTAACATTTAACTGGTCTCTCTACCCAATTATTAGGGCATAGAATATTGGTGGTAGAGTCTATGCTAGTTCTTCAACAACTGCTGATAACTTTTCGATAGCCAGGTTGCTCGAAGAATTGAGAGCTTGACAGGTTTCCCTAGCAAATTCTGCCCTTTATTGTTCTCCAAAAATTTGGTTTCGCTTTGAGAGCTGTTTAGAACTAAGACTCAAAAAATTGAGCAACGAAAATTACCAAAGTTCCCAATGTAACCCTCGTTCTTTCAAACACCAAGACGCCTTCGGAAACGTCATCCGTTCTAGTAGACGAAATCCCGTTTGTTCAATTGCTTCCATATTCGAAATACGAACTTCGGCGAGAAAGCGCGCCAAAAACAGGATCTCTCGGCTCCATAATACTAGTGTTATCATGATAGAATAAGATGTCTGTGCTTTTTTTTGGCAAAGACCAATGAATTTAGCGGTTTTTAATAAATATAAAAGTTTTTTCAATAAATAAAGTTCGTTATGAACAGTCTGTTGGGCTTCCCATCACAGTAGTAGAAATATCAGTTTACATTGGACTCCAAGAGAGTGAGGGGTGGAATGCGATTATTTTGCGAAGCTCTTTATTTACGAGGATGGTCGAAAGAAGGAGAAAGGAAGGATTATTGTCTTCTTCATCACTTGTGAACTTTTTTTATTCATCGGTAGATATTTTAACTTAGGTAGCGTACATAGTCTTTCACGTTATTTTTTTTTCGATCGAGACATCACTGGAACGCTGGGAACAATATGGATTGTGGTGATGAACACCAGCACTGTTTAGGAAACATGAAAATGGTTTACACTGATGAAGTTCATTGATCAGAGAGGCTTTGAAGTCAACAGCTTTATCATAACTCTTGGAACTACACGCTTGATTGCGATTCTCATTAAGGACTAAGAATGCAACTAATGAAATTGAACTCAATTTTCGAAGATAATCGTTGTTTTTGACCAGCATTTATACTTCTCCTTTCTGACATATCAATTTCGAAGTAGAATATTTAAGTAACTCCCACGACCGACTTTCTATTAACCTCGGCATTGATCAAGTAATTCTTCGTATTTTTGTTGAGCAAACGCGA